TACATTGAGCTGTGACTCTACATGTGACAGAGCCGATTAATCCAGCACTTGTGACGTATCCATAATATGTGGTCCCCAAGCAGTGATGCCGCTAACCATGCCTCCTGTCTGTACACAATCCCAGTGGTGGTGGAGGCAGTTGTGTCTGCTGGTCCAGCTCTTTGTCAACCCCAGTTCCCACCCCCAGCTTACAACATCAGTGTAGTGCATGCTGAGCTACTAGTGGGATTGGACATGTATGCAGATGTAAAAGTGGTGGCATGGAGACTCAGCTAGGTCCTGTGACTGAGTCAGCCACTCTTTTTTACCTACAGCCTTGGAGAAATCATAAATGTGAGGGTTTTTTTTTATATTTCTTCAATGCAAACCAATGTGTGTGTGTGTGTGTGTGGGGGGGGGGGGATAGCGGGGTTAACAGCTCTGACCACCAATGCAGGAAAAATATGGGTTAATTAACATTGTCACAGACCACCAATATAGGGGGAAAGAGATAACTAACACTGCCACTGACCATCAAAGTAGGGGGAAAGGCGGTAATGAACACTGCAACTGACCACCAGTTCGAGGATGGGAAATAACACTGCCACTGACCATCAACACAGGAAGAGGATTAAGGAGGACAAATAAAGGCATTGCCACCGATTACCAATAAAAGAGGTCTAAGTAGCATAACACTACCCACTGATGTGAGTGTTATCATGAGTGTGGATACTGGGGGTTACTATTGCAGCACGTGACACATACTGGGAGTTATCATTGTGACCACTTACACCAATGCAGGGCTTGTTACAGCAGTCACTGGCACAAATTTTCGGGTTATTATTTCGCAATCACTATTACAAATGCTGGGGGTTATTATTGCAGTCACTAACACCAGTGCTGGAGGTTATTCTTGTGTCTACTGACTGCAATCCTGGGGTTTATTATTGAGGTCAGTGAAACCAATGCTATAGGTTATTAATTCAGTCACCAGTTCAGCAGCATAGTAAGCCATGGCCAACATGCAGCATGAGGTAAACCAACTAGTTTTTGATGCAGGACGCTACATTTTCTTTTTCTCAAGGGACAGGGCCCAACTTATGAACTTACACACAGTCCCACTGTATTCACTGTATTCAGCACTATCCTAAGGAGTGAGGGAAAGGGAAGTACATTTTTGTGGGAGGCGATGTGGTGGCGATAAAGCAAACCGGATCCACATCTGCTCCTTTCAACCTACTTTGAATTACTTCTAAAAATGTGTATTAATGGCACCATGCAGATTACTGTAATTATTTTAATTGATTTAAAGTGACTGGTCTGTGAAAAAGGGAAGGGTAGAAATGTAATAATTAAAGCCTTATGTGACCTGCTGGGGGAAATCTACGAAAAACTGGAGCAGATAGAATCTGAAGCAAGTATGCACAGTTACTAATCAGATTCTAACCACAGCTTGTTCAGTTAAAGTGATACTAAACCCAGGACCCTGAATTCAGTATACCTGGTCTCCCACAGTACACAGAACATGGAAATGCAATTATTTTAGTCAATACAAACTGCTCAATACCTTTTCTCATCAGCAGTTAGAGCAGTCTTGTGACTTCAGCAGAGCACTTGATAAAGCTTGTAGGAGGAGTTTTCTTTCTGCTCTAGGGGGATGTGAAACCTCTGACCCTCTGTGTGGACAGGGCTGGTTGGCCCTGTGCTGATCACATGCACTCTCCAAAGAAACAAAATAACCTCTCTAGCAATACACACCAAACTGAAAATGTGCAGAATGGCTATGGATTCAGTCTGTATCAGGTGGTCATTTCAACAAAAGGAGGGGCAGAGAAAAATGGATAAAACAGTCTTTTTACACAATGAAGAGGATTAACCCCTTGGGTTCCATGGTGAGTATAACAAACATGCTTTACTGCATATACAGATTGATTTTACTGCTGTGGGTTTAGTAACACTGTAAGCATTGTAAAAGAAATCTAGAAGCTGGTTGGCTGCATTGCGCAGCTGCTTTAGATTCTGTCTACTCCAGTATTTAGTAAATTCCCCTCAATGTTCCTGAACAATCACACTTTATATCAGGATATTTTTCACTATTAAGCTGATCATACACTATACAATCTGATTTGATCACCTCTTTTGGATCTATCAACTATGTAACGTAACAGCCTGCTCATTGGATACAAACTGATTGTTTCTGTTTGTCCTTATAATATATATATTGGTAAATTTAAAGGCAATCATACAAAGACATTCCAAACAGACAATGGGGTTGATTTACTAAAACTTGAGCGTGCAAAATCTGGTGCAGCTGTGCATGGAAGCCAATCAACTTCCAGGTTTTTTTTTTTTTTTTTTAAAGCTTAAGTGAACAAGCTGAACTTAGAAGCTGATTGGCTACCATGCTCAGCTGCACCAGATTTTGCACTCTCCAGTTTTAGTAAATCAACCCCAATGTATTACCACCCTTACGCAGTCATGTTTGCAAAATACGACTAATACCACTACTATAACACAAACATTGTTAAACCCCTATAAACATATTTACTAAAACAAATAGCAATGTACCCAGTAAACCATCCAAACCAATCAGCAGTCATATTTTACTGTCCTGACAGTTCTACACAGAAAAAGGGTAACGTCTAATTGGTTACCAAAGGCTACTACATTTCCAAACCATCAGTGTTCTTTGTACTACTCTAATAAATGAACCATTTTTTTTCTATCAATACTCAGTATTTCATTAAATAAGTCTGCCCTATTGCGGACCAAAAGAGAAGAAAGTTCCACTAAAAATTGGAAAAATATTTATGTATTTTATTTTTAGATTTAGTTATCATGTAATTTGCGTTTGCTCATTCTACACATTCATCATATTAGAAGTAACAAAGATGTACTGTGTGTGGGTAACTAACACAGCCAAATCACAATTCGCCCTAATCAATGTCTTTCAATGTTATGGCTTCTTTTAATTAAACCTTACTCACAGTGTGCATGGTTTCAAGCAAATGAACACCGGTTAATAAACTGCAATGACAATATTTAGATATGATAATAAAATAAACTGATCTGATTTATTCAGTCATTTATTTTGCACGTGAGTGACTTTTTTGGAAATATAAACTCATTTGAACTTTTTGACAGTGTACAGCAAAATACATTTTAGGTAGATTTATTTCTTAAACACGCAAAAAACATACATTCTCTGTGCTTAATGCAGTAGGGGTGTGCATCAACCATAATTATAAGTACTGTCTATAGTTTCATACCTAAATGTTAAAATGTATGTCAAACCCTGTTTTAAGAGAGAGAGAATGACTTTCCTGATAGTGCTGCAATATCTCCTCACTGCAATAAAAGGCAAGTGCCATTAATTTAAAGGGCACGTCAGTCTATTACACATCCATCATACAGGTGATACATTAACACATACATCATTTAGCTGGAATGATTTGGGATAATTTATGAGTGTGGTATTATATTGATTGGAACTGGTGTAATTTTTGCACACTCCTGCACACCACATTTACCAAGAAAGCTTGCGATGAATGAGCCACTTGCACATGGTGACACATCTTTAAAACATTTCTTTTAAATCATATTAACCTTTTTTTTCTCTACAGAAATAAATTACAAGCATACACATAGACACATTAATACTAGTAACATAAAACATAGCAACTGTGCACACCCCTACAGTGTGCATGGGAAGAATTCCACAGACTCTTTAAAATGCCAAAAAGGCAATGATGTGAAAGGAAAGGGGGAAAAAAAAAGAAATAAAAAAAAAAAATGGAAACAGAAGTCTAAGTTAATTTTCCAATCCAGGTGTCAATTGTAAGCATTGTTCTGAAGATGAACTCTTTGCATTTGACATGGGTGAATATTTAAGCAGCATCATTGCTAGAGTCATAGCAGTGAAATGCAGAGCTGAACAGTAGGATAGCAGTATGTATTGACGTTTGTGCTCAGCAGCATTCATGAGTCTGACAACTCAGGATAGGGAGTTTCAGGCAGTGATTCTTTACAATATCGACTGGGTTCTGCAGACAAAAGGAAAACATTCATAGAATTATTGATAGAGTGTCATAATGGGCTATATAGAATAAAAACCAACTACGATTTATTGGGAATTCATTGCTAAGTGTGTTCATACACTGTGCGATTTGATGTGCTGAATACTGGGTCAGTATGGCCACTTGCTAAGTGGCTTCAGCAGCCAAAATAATATAAGTAAAATGATCTCATTTGAACCATGATAGCACACCAAGGGCAGTATGAATGCAATATGCTGCCACAGAAGGCACCAAGCCATTGTGACCCTGTGGAACCTTGCTGCAATACTTTATAGACCTCGTGCTACGTAGATGCTGTATTAAGGTATATGGTGTTACATCAGACACTGTGGGATGCTCATACACAATGAAGAGTTGATGAAATGGATCACCAAGGATTTGATCAAAATGTAATACCTGGTCATTAACAATAATAACATTCCTGATTATATTAGATGTTCCCTTCCTGTAGGAAAGGTTTTTAATGCTTCTGACTTTTGCTGGACACCGTATTATTTTTTCTATTCTAAGAGATGCCTAATGATTTAACCACCCTCTAATTCCAATATATCCACGTCAGTTTGTCTATTGAACCTCAATTAGATGCTTCATCAGCAAACTCAGTTAACTCAGGTTGAACTCCAATAACTGGAAAACAAATCTGCTGATCGATCCAATGAACACAGTAGACACCAGTACATCTCAGAAAGAATTTTCCAAAAGCTGACATAGAAAAAATACAAAGTGAAGGTTGTAGGCAATGAGCGATCCACCCACCACAGATCAGTCATACACATATACAGGGGACACTGAGGTGCTACTCTTGACTCTTGGCCATCTCATTCTACTTGACCTCACCTACTAATCCTCTATTATCTGCAGCCAGAAGGAAGGGTAACTTACCTGTGACATCAGACCCAAAACAAGTGCATTCATGTAGAATTGAGAAGCAGAAGATGGCTAGATTCATGAAGAGCAGCTACAGCGATGTATCAGTTTGTGAAAAGCTTGCTTGAAGTCCTCGTTTGACATTGTATAGATAATGGGGTTTATTAAAGAGTTGAGATATCCAAGCCAATTGAAAAAGTCAAATATAGCAGGATGAAACCAGCAAGCTTCTTTGCAGATGGGCATAACCAGTGAGATGATGAAAAATGGTAACCAACACACGATGTAAGCTCCAAGTATAATTCCCAAGGTCTTGGTAGCCTTCTTCTCCCTGGCAGCCATGATCTTCTTCTTCTCCAGTAGAGCATCTGACACTTTAACTTTGACTTGATTCAGGTATACAGGAGAACCTGTGTCACTTGACAGTTCTGCAGCCCTTGAGTTGGTGGAGGACACAGAAGAAGATCCGGGAGAGTCAGTAATTAGATGAGCCCTTGTCAATCTTTTGCCTGTGCTCTTTGGAGATTGTTTCAGAATTCTAGACCTGGCTTCTACATAAATTCTCCCATAGAGGGCTATTAGAAGTAATGTAGGGACATAAAATGCTCCAACTGTAGAGTACACCGTATATAAAACGTGATCTGTATTCACAGAACACATGGTGAGCTCTTCCACTTTTGATTGACGCCAAAAAAGTGGGGGCATAGAGATCGATATGGAGAAGACCCACACTAGAGCTATCATAATGACTGCCCTTCTAGGAGTCCTTTTCTTGGTGTATTCAACTGCATCAGTGATCGCCCAGTATCTATCCAAGGCTATAACACATAAATGGAGAATGGATGCAGTGCAACAAGTGATATCAGATGATAACCACATATCACATATAACCTGCCCCAAAGTCCACTTGCCAATGACAGTATACAAGGTGCTGATTGGCAATACAAGAATAGACACTAAAAGGTCAGTGAATGCCAATGAAGCTATGAGATAGTTGGCAGGGGTGTGCAATTTTCTGGTCTGATAGACTGTTGCAATTACAAATGCATTGGACAACAAAGTGGCAAGAGTGATGAGAGCCAAGATGATGGTGAGGACAACGCTCCAGAAGGACAGCTCAAACTCCTGTCCATGGCTGTCCAGATTTGCAATACAACTTGTGCCATCGTAGGAGTAATTGCTTTGAGAGACATTCAGTTCGTCAGCAGCCGGCTGGCATTGGCTTTGTGGCTCCATCATGGAGTTTTCAGCATTCAGGTAGCTTAAAGCATCTATGAGACCTCCAGGGATGGAAGAGAACTACCTCAAAGCTACAAGGACTAGGACACTTGGATGCACCTTCATATTGGTTTGAAATCCCTGATGACAGTCCTTCAGACCTGGATGGTGTGTGACCAAAAAAATAGGTGTTGTGCTCTTTACACTCTACTTGCAGATGGCTCATAGATCCAAAAACTTTAACAAATCAATGCAAAAACAGAATTTCAAATCCCCAAACGCTGAATAAAGCGTCCCAAAGCTTTTTTTTTTTTTTTTTTAAACAAGGATCAGTCTGCACTAATAAAGCAAATCCGATAATCCATCAGTGACTTTAAGCATCCATATTACCGTTAATTACAAACATCTATAGAAATCTAGTTCACTTGTCATCTAGCTGATTTAGATTAAATGTAACCATTCAATGCCTTTTGTATCATTAGCCCTCAAATCGCTGTATCAATAAAAAAAAAAATGGCATTATTGCTCTTTAGAATGTAATATTGATGGAAACATCAATAATCACCTCATCTGTGCTGGTACTTGTCATTGTCAGGCACAGAGGACATCCATTGTTACATTCACAAATGATGCTGTCGTCCTTAGCAAGGTTGGCTTCTCCCCAAAAAAAGAAAAGAAAGAAAAAAAAAAAAAGTCTTGTCAGTCTGATCTCCTGGTTCATTCAAGCTGTCCTGCAGGGATTACTCCAAGACTTGATGGCTAGAGCCTTTAGAATATGCATGGAAGTTCTTGATGCTGGTGCTGTCCGAGCAGGGAAAACTTAAGTGGAAGTCAGGATTTCTTGCAGACTTTGAAAATAGTAGATGGCTCATTGCCCTGGGTGACAGCAATGCATGTGCTTGTAGAGGGAGCCTCAACTTCTAGGGAGCTCCAGGGATCCGACTTCTCTCCGCTGAGCTGTGCAGCCAAGTGACCAGGGCAGTTGGTGGGAGCTGGAGTGGTGCTGAAAGCTGCCGTTCATTTCTCCCCTGTCTTGTGTGTGCTCTTTTATTCTCAAGCAGCAGCACTAGTACTTCTCCTGGTGCTGCAGCTGACATAGAGGCTGATGTAGGAGTGGAGGAGGAGAGGTGTGGGGGGGGGGGGGGGGGGGGGGGGGGAACAGTGGGGGGGGGGCTGGCTGTTTTCTAGGTACGAATCAGTAAAATGCTTTTAGATGTGTGGAGTGTATGCAGCATCACTGTCTAATCCTGGTCACCACTGAAGAGTTGGGGGGCAGGACAGCTGGCTGTTTTCTAGGTACTATCTTCCCTCTCCATCAGGTGTGTTCATTGCTTAGTAGAAATGTGACTGTGTGTGAATGTACAATATATATGAGATGTGTGGAGTGTAAAATGCAGTGTATGCAGCATCACTGTCTACTCATCCTGCAGTCACCACTGTAGAGTTGGGGAGGCAGGACACTCACATCTGCTAGCTTCATTGTATAGGACATGTGCTGCTTCCTAAACCCACCTCTCTGTACATTTACTTGCTTTGTTGTTTTTTTTTTTTCCAGTTTAAAAAATATGTATCTTTAAAAAAAGAAAAGCAGGTGTGTTCATAGCAGATATTCGCAATATTTTTTTTTTAATCCAAACAACTTTTATTGTCAAGAAATGTGACTATGTGTGAATGTACAATATATATGTGTAAATTGCTGTGCAAACTGATGGCGCTATATAAGTACCTGAAATAAAATAAAAAAAAAAATAAATGTGTGAGATGTGTGGAGTGTATGCAGCATCACTGTCTACTCATCCTGCAGTCACCACTGTAGAGTTGGGGAGGCAGGACGCTCACATCTGCTAGCTTCATTGTATAGGACATGTGCTGCTTCCTAAACCCACCTCTCTATATATTTACTTGCTTTGTTGTTGTTGTTGTTTTTTTTTTTTTTGCAGTTTAAAAAATATGTGTATCTAAAAAAAGAAAAGCAGGTGTGTTCATAGCAAGTGTTTGCAATATTTTTTTTTAATCCAAACAACTTTTATTGTCAAGAAATGTGACTATGTGTGAACAGGGGCGGACTGACCATTTGGAAACTCGGGCACTGCCTGAGGGCCCAGGGTCAGTAGGGGGCCCCATGAGATGCCCCTGGTACCTTTTTCATAGGCTTTTTTGAGTTTGGGCAAGGACACAGGGGCCCCATGATCCCCTATTGCCCGGGGGCCCCATGAGTTGTCAGTCCGTCCCTGTGTGTGAATGTACAATATATATATGTAAAGTGCTGTGTAAATTGATGGTGCTATATAAGTACCTGAAATTAATAATAAATAAATAAATGTGTGAGATGTGTGGAGTGTATGCAGCATCACTGTCTACTCACCCTGCAATCACCACTGTAGAGTTGGGGAGGCAGGATGCTCACATCTGCTAGTTCCATAGTATAGGACATGTGCTGCTTCCTAAACCCACTTCTCTATACATTTACTTGCTTTGTTGTTGTTGTTTTTTCCAGTTTAAAAAATATATGAATCTTTAAAAAAAGAAAAGCAGGCGTGTTCATAGCAGGTGTTTGTAATATTTGTTTTTAATCCAAACGTTTATTGTCAAGAACTGTGACTATATGTGAATGTACAATATATATGTGTAAAGTGCTGCGTAAATTGATGGTGCTATATAAGTACCTGAAATAAAATAATAAATAAATGTGTGAGATGTGTGGAGTGTATGCAGCATCACTGTCTACTCATCCTGCAATCACCACTGTAGAGTTGGGGAGGCAGGACACTCACATCTGCTAGCTTCATTGTATAGGACGTGCTGCTTCCTAAACCCACTTCGTTATACATTTACTCTCTTTGTTGTTTTTTTTTCTGTTTAAAAAATATGTTTTTTTTTAAAAAAAGAAAAGCAGGTGTGTTCATATCAGATATTTGCAATATTTTTTTTAATCCAAACAACTTTTATTGTCAAGATAATTATGAACATGAAACAGTACTTACAGAATCCACAATGACATTACTGCAACAGCAGGATTACACATAAATAGAACAATGTGGAGACGCAGATCCCGTAATAAACAGAATAACAGAAATGGTAAACAAAACAGAGACCACAAGGATTCAAAACTTTCTTGACAATATCTTGCTTTTTCCTTTTTACATCTTATTCCTTCCCGACCAGAGATATTTGCAATATTAAAGTGGTAGTCAACCCAAAAACAAAAATGTAATACTGTATAATGCAGCTTACCAGTCTTTAGATGCGATAGCTGAATCAGTTTACCTTTTCTTTATCTTTCAATAGATTTTGTTGAAATTTTTTAAAGTTACAAAGTTTACCTTTTTTATAGCTTTCTTTTAGTCTTAATGGGGTTTAGTTGTCAGGAGCTGACAGGGGGCAGGTCTGTGTTGTTTATACACAGGTCTCTCCCCCATCAGAGATCCTTGGTGATACTGCATCAGCCTATGCTTGAGAAGGGAGAGTGCTTGCCCTTTATTGGCCTCGTGCATGCTCCGAAATGCGTTGCATGCTGGTCCCTCCTACATCATCATGCTGATGCCAACGTTGCGCTCCAGGGTGCGTTCCAATGCCCATCTTCTGAGACAAACACATGCTGGCCGGCTTCCTCCGTCTACAGTCTCCCCTAGCGGGGACCACAGCATACCCAGCGAGGACTTGGACACCATTTGACACTCCACTATACCGATAAGCTTCTTTTACACTTTTACCATGTGAGTGTTTTTACATTGTTCCTGAACAAATGTCCTTTATACTGCACATAGAGGCACTTTTCTTCTTCGTTTGTGTCTTCACCTAGAGCAGAGGTGTCAAACTGGCGGTCCTCCAGCTTTTGCAAAACTACAAGTCCCATCATGCCTCTACCTTTAGGAGTCATGCTTGTAACTGTCAATTATGCAATGCATCATGGGACTTGTAGTTTGGCAACAGCTGGAGGGCCGCCAGTTTGACACCTGTGAGCTAGAACCTGCTACAGCATCAAGAGCTTGCCCTAGTGCTATATGGACTCACATATATAGGACTTTATTATGTAGTTTTACTTTGTTCCTTGGCATTAGGATTTGGAGAATTTGTTTGCGCTGAATGTTTTGTTCTTTGTCTTCGGGACCCTGGTGATTGACAGTCGAAGCCACAAATATACGTGAATTTGCGCACCTGTGCCGCCCTGTAGCAGTATTTCTGCTATACGGCGGCGTGTAACTGGTTATAAAATATGTATCTTTAAAAAAAGAAAAGCAGGTGTGTTCATAGCAGATATTTGCAATATTAAAGTGGTAGTCAACCCAAAAGCAAAAACGTAATTTAGTGCAGCTTATCAGTCTTTAGATGTGACAGCTGAATTAGTTTACCTTTTTTATGGCTTTCTTTTAGTCTTATTGGGGTTTATTTACTAAAACCGGAGAGTGCAAAATATGATGCAGCTCTGCGTGGTAGCCAATCAGCTTCTAACTTCAGTTTGTTCAATTAAGTTTTGACAATAAAACCTGGAAGTTGATTGTTTCCTATGCAGAGCTTCACCAGATAGTGCACTCTTCAGTTTTAGTAAATCAAACCATATATATATATATATATATATATATAAAAAAATGTATATACAAAACTGGTTTAGAGGCAGTCACAGGTCTTGCAGCAGAGGAGAAGGATCAAACACTGCATTATTTTTATGGTCAATGTTTGATGAAGCTCAGCCCATCTTTCTCTCTTTTTTTAACTACTTGTCCTACAGAGGATTTACCCCCCTTCCTGACCATTTTTTGAGATATGGTGTTGCATTACTTTAACTGACATTTGTGCGGTCTGCACCCAAATAAAATTTATGTCCTTTTTTTTCCACAAATAGAGCCTTCTTTTGGTGGTATTTGATCACCTCTGCATGTTTTATTTTTTGCGCTATAAACCAAAAATGATGACAATTTTGAAAAAAAACAATATTTTTGACTTTTTGCTATAAAGCATGTCCAATAAAAAAAATAAAATGTCTTTATAAATTTAAGCCAAAATGCATTCTGCTTCATGTC